TCAGTGGCACATTATTATGGCGGTCAGTTTTCCAAATACATTTGTTGAACCAGGAAGTGATGTCACTTCCTCCTCTCAGACAGTTTGGGATGAATGTACATCATTAATCAAATTAGTATAATCCTTACAAGAGCTAATCTATTTTAGCAGGTTTGGGGTCAGTCATTATTCTACAATGGTGTTTGATTCTCTAATCTGTGCTGGAAACTTTTCAATATCTAAATGTCTACTTTTTGTTTTTGTGCTATACCCAAATGCATCAAAATGCTTTTAAATGCTTTTGAATCTCTGTTGGTTCTAATCTATCTCATTGATCTAAGCTACATTAATCTAGACTACACTCATATGAACTTTTTGTATTGTCAACATTCACAGATGTGTGAACACAAGTGAATTTGGCAAGTATCTAATAAAACTGTAAATAAAACTGTAAGTAACTTTATCTACTTCTGAAGCAAAGGTTTGTGGAATGGTCCCTTTACCATTTGATATTAGCACTGGCTAAGAATATTCTCTATTTTTGAAAGCATCTATGGTTGATGCATTTATCTATTCCTATTTTTACACTATTGTGACTCCAAAGTTTGGCTGCAGTTTGAGCAAAGGCATATTTCTAGTTTGTGACTTCTGTCACTTTTAATGGCTGTAACATAACTCTGATTCTAATATTATAGCTGATCTATCAAAAGGATAACATTGTAGGGTACTATTTTAACTCTTACGTGGAAATATGTTTATGAACAACAAAGGAAGGACAATTCTACTTTTTTACTACTATTAAAACGCTACAATACTCATACTTTATCATTTTAAAACATTTTAACAGTTGCTCAGTCTCCCAGACTAAAAAAGTCAAAGTTTTTGTCTGTCAGATGTCTGAATACTTAACATGTATATTGCATTTGTCACAGTTTCTGGTTGTAGCAATAGCATCGGCAATAGACGTTTTCATTGGCTGGTTCTTGTTCTGCAAATGTCTGTGTCCAATAGATCATCAGATGTCCAGAAGCTAGGGACAAACAAAAACAAAAGAAAGAATCATGAGTATCTCTCTCATTTAGCACTCATCAATGTATGATTTCAAAAATATAAACATCACTCCCCAGTTTTCTCTCTCAGATCCTCAGGTCCTCAGGTCCTCAGGTCCTCAGGGTCCTCAGGTCCTCAGGTCCTCAGGTCCTCAGGTCCTCAGGTCCTCAGGGTCCTCAGGTCCTCAGGTCCTCAGGTCCTCAGGGTCCTCAGGGTCCTCAGGTCCTCAGGTCCTCAGGTCCTCAGATCCTCAGGTCCTCAGGGTCCTCAGGGTCCTCAGGGTCCTCAGGGTCCTCAGGGTCCTCAGGTCCTCAGGATCTTGGACATCAGTAGGGTCCAAGCCATGGTTCTGGTCTCTCCAGATGCACATCAGGATCTCCAGATACAGTCTTTTCACTCGAAGCACATCAGGTCATTTGGGATGCACTTCTGGTCAATGGTGCAGTGTCTCAGTTCCTGTACACAGCTTGTTATGCAGTAGTTACTTTCTATTGTTAAGTCACTTTGATTCTAATCCTAATCAATGTAATTACTTCACACAGTACAAAATCAAAACATAAAAAGTGTCAGGACAGACGTCAATTAAGTCCATGACAATATAGAATTCAAATGAACATTTCTGGTCTCAAAAAATACTGATTCAACTAAAGATTCAAGTGATAGACAATTAAAAATATGTGTTTACATTGGAGTAAACTTTTAAAATGCTTTTTTCTCATGTTCTGCTTTTTCATGTATCTATGTGTAAATGTGAATGTGTGTGTGTGTGTAGATGTATGTGTGTGTGTATGTGTGTGTGTGTGTGTGAATTTTGGGGTTGTGTGTCCAGACTCCTCGAACCACCTGTAGGTGTCAAAGGTCACACTGGCTCGATGTAAACAAGCAAAGTGGGCACACTTCCAGATTGCAAAACAACTCACCCACCACTGCCTACAGAAAACCTCACTTTGTGGCCCCGGTCTCACTGCCACCGACGACCATCGGTCTGTAGTGGGGGAGGGGCACACGGAGGTAGCTATGTCGCCTTTACGATCTGCGGCTGGTTGGATGGTGTCTACTCTGGGCCACTGTTCTGATCCCTCAGTGTCCAGTGTCCAGCAGTGACCCTGTACAGTGTGGCAGAGTCTGAAAAACAATCCTTGAGACGGCCAATTTAAAAAACAACAGAGATTGTGAATGAGATTGTTTTTCTCCCTAAAGTCAAAACAATTTGAGCGCTCTGGGTTTTCCCACATGCGCTATATAAATAAAGATTACTTATTCTCTTACTAATGATGACACTTTTAAGACCAGAAGACTCAAATCTAAAAAAAAACTATTTAAACTTTAAAATATGTGTACTTTTGTACTGTGTTTAATTATCTATGCATTCTTGGGTTTCACTTTATGGACTTTCCCTTTTACACTTATTTATCTCAGCATCTATTCTACTAATTTAAAATAATTGCAGCATTTTTCAAATTAAGTCAATATGAATTTGAGCACATTTTAGAGCCAGGCTCCTCTGCTGTGGCATCAGCAGCAGGAGGAAGGTCAGGCGTGTAGTCAAAACAAAAACGTCACCACTTGAATGTGAATTGGGTGAATTGGGTACAGTTCAACTTAATAATACTTTTACAGCCTAATTCCCTCTTTCTTTTTAGACAAAGTCTATAATCAATAAGCACTTTTAACACAGATTCCAATTTAAATGTTTGAAAAACGGCTTTTGTAACTAAAATAAAAAACAAAACATAAAAACAAACACAACTCAAAAACAGTTAAGAAATAAGCAGCAGATTTAAAAGAATGGAATCTAGAAATATGTTAGATCTAAAAAGAATTGCACAGCTTTAGCACTAATATTTGGGTTTCAAAAACATACTAATTCAAAACTTCTTTTTACTAAATGGTGTTTAAAAACGTTTAACTGTCATAACACAATGTTCAAATGGCAAATTTCGCAAATTTAACGGAATAACTACACTGAAAAGCCAGAAATCCTAAAAGCAGTAGCTTTGCTCTGATTCAGAGCCAGAGCAGCAAAGGAGGGGGCCGTTTCCCTGACAACGGCAGCAAGATAGAGCACACACAGAAAGTAGTGTTTTAGCAAAAATGCAAAAACAGAAAGAAGAATAACTTTCAAGATTACTTTGTTAATACAATACACACAATACAATTTATTCTTGTATAGCCCTAGGTCACAACAGAAGTCATCTCAGAGACTTAACAAAACCATTGAAATCACCAACACAGGTCAGAGGTCAACAGTTAAAACACATGAAGAATATAAAGCACACACAGAAGAAAATGTCCATACATGTTGTAGAATGCTAAAGTGTCCTGATCATCACCAATCCTTTCTGTTGGACACTAACTGTCCAACAAGACCCTCCTGCATCCACAAGGAACAACTCTTAAAAAACCCAGTGGGAAAACGTGAGAAACCTTGGAGGAGAACTAGGGAAACCCACAGGGAGGGAGACCCATATGAGAAAGGGATCCGCTCCTCCGGACGGACAGGCTAATGATCTAGGACCTAAGCTAGCTACAGAACGTGGACCAGTGGACGCTGAACGTGGACAGGTCCGGTGCAGGACTGAAGCACTCCCAGGCGGGTCGGGCGGGGCAGTCCGCAGGTGTAGATGGAAGAGGCCAGGCTCAGAGATCCCGTCATCGTACCATGAAACAGACAATGGGACAACGGGTGAATAGCAATGAACAAACTACAGTCAGAATCCTAAAAATGCTAAACAGATAAAGTAGGAAGGAGGAGAGGATAGTGCTCAAGTTACCATACTTCTCCCAGCAAACTGACTCCCTATGCAGCTTGACTGACAGTCTGAGGAGTTTAACCTTCTCCGAGTCTTACCTTCCTAGCCATATGCTAAACTAAAGAGGACTGTTTTAAACCTAGCCTTGAATAAAGAATAACATACAGCATAATATATAACATAATATACAACATAACACAATACATTATTGATGAGTATATATTATTCAATAATGTATTGTGTTATGTTGTATATTATGTTATATATTATGCTGTATGTTATTCTTTATTCAAGGCTAGGTTTAAAACAGTCCTCTTTAGTTTAGCATATGGCTAGGAAGGTAAGACTCGGAGAAGGTTAAACTCCTCAGACTGTCAGTCAAGCTGCATAGGGAGTCAGTTTTGCTGGGAGAAGTATGGTAACTTGAGCACTATCCTCTCCTCCTTCCTACTTTATCTGTTTAGCATTTTTAGGATTCTGACTGTAGTTTGTTCATTGCTATTCACCCGTTGTCCCATTGTCTGTTTCATGGTACGATGACGGGATCTCTGAGCCTGGCCTCTTCCATCTACACCTGCGGACTGCCCCGCCCGACCCGCCTGGGAGTGCTTCAGTCCTGCACCGGACCTGTCCACTTTCAGCGTCCACTGGTCCACGATTTTCTGTAGCTAGCTTAGGTCCTAGATCATTAGCCTGTCCGTCCGGAGGAGCGGATCCCTTTCTCATATGGGTCTCCCTCCCTGTGGGTTTCCCTAGTTCTCCTCCAAGGTTTCTCACGTTTTCCCACTGGGTTTTTTAAGAGTTTTTCCTTGTGGATGCAGGAGGGTCTTGTTGGACAGTTAGTGTCCAACAGAAAGGATTGGTGATGATCAGGACACTTTAGCATTCTACAACATGTATGGACATTTTCTTCTGTGTGTGCTTTATATTCTTCATGTGTTTTAACTGTTGAACCTCTGACCTGTGTTGGTGATTTCAATGGTTTTGTTAAGTCCTCTGAGATGACTTCTGTTGTGACCTAGGGCTATACAAGAATAAATTGTATTGTGTGTAATTGTATT